GTTGCTGCTTGTTACGATAGTATCTCACTCTGCGCCCGCCGTATCGATCTGTCTCTAATGTCTGGAACACTTTCCGCGGCAGCACCACTAAAAAAATCTTCTCCGAGTGCGGGGGGGGGGGCTGGCGTCGGAAATTAGAATTTACTCGCTTAAGCTACCGCAGATCCGTACCACTCCGCGTGACTCACACGCTGGCGCAACGAAGTAGCTTCGTCAGCGTGACGCCCACCGCCGCGGCGGTCGGCGGCGGCAAGCGCGCGTGCGTGAAGGGCGACAGCCGCATGATGATAAATATTGCGTAGGCCTTTGACGAATTCCACCGCGCAATATATTGTCGTTTGACGAGGAGTGTTTGATCTGGGTCGCGGCGCCCCGGGGAGGGGAGGGGGTCGAGCCGCAAGAATTCCTCGTCCGGTATCGGTGACGTCACAGACAGACATCGTGTACAGTCGGGTAATTTCACCGGGAAACGAAGACGGCGCCGAAAAGAATGGTAGAAAACAGCGTGATTTTCTTTTTAAACATTTTTTCCACAAGAAGTTTTATTGAGAATAGAAAATTAATAAATAGAATTTCATGATAGCACGTTCACAGAAAATAACAGAATGAAACAATGTTAGCAGGTGCTAGTAATCGTAATGTAATAAAATAAGAGTAGAAAGCAGATACTGTAGTAAGAGTAAAAGTATAGCAGTGGTGCTGCACTCAACAGCGGACATAGTGAAAGATAACACGTACAATGAGAAACAAAGCAAGTTCTAACAAAAATCGTAAACCACCAGGACTAGCCGATAGCTACTCAGCTAGCGTATATATCGCATATATCATAGTTTCGCTAGCCAGTCCAGCGCATGCGCGAGTGTAATCTCTGACAAGAGAACACTTCTCAAGGGGCTAATGATCGAAACCACTTCGTCTCTCTCTCTCTCTACTCTCTCGCTGTTGCTCAGGCTCTCTCTCTCGTTCTCTCGTCTCGGTTCTCTCATCTCTCTCTCTCTCCCTGCTCCCCGCTCTCTCATCTCTCCCTCATCTCTCCTCTCTCTCTCTCTCTCTCCACCGTCTCCCGTCTCATCTCTCTCTACACCCTTCATCACTCCTCTCAATCTCATCTCTCTCTCTCTCTCTCCCTCTCTCCTCTCTCTCTCCCTCCTCACCCGCCTCTCCCTCCTCTCTCTCTCTGTCCGCTCTGCTCTTATCCCTAGCACAAGTATATTAATGTCGTCGGCAGTTACAGTAGTAGAATAGAGCAAGATCATAGCTGTGTTAAATGTTAAGTTAACGAAGCAGAGCAGAGGTGGGCGTGACTCGCTCGCAACTAACTGTACTGTCTCTGTTTCTTAGTCGTGACATGAACAGCGATAAAACGCGAGACGCATGTAACTATAAAATGCGACCGTAACAACTCAGAGATAAAAGAAATACGCAGAAATGCTTAAATATGTCTGCTATATATTTCCGATGGTAACCTGACAAATTCACCCAATGTCGCTCGCCGTTCCGCGAGTTCTCCGCCCCCTCCCTCACTCGTCATCTTCTTCCTCTCTATGCCTCTCACTTGTTCTCTCCTCTCTCTCTCCATCAATCTCTACTCATCTCATCATCCTAATTCATCATCTCTTCCCTCTCTCCTCTCTGTTCTCTTTCCGTTCAACCGAACAACGTAGTTGCGAATGAATACTTATAAACATAGACACAAATCGAATAATCATTACGTAATTTAATTATACCATTATGTACGCCCTAACAACTATATAGTAAATATACTATATTATATATATATTATTATCTATAATAGTATATATAATCTCTCTCTCACAAACGTCTGTATTCTCTCGTCGCTAATTCCGAAAATGCCTAGGATATAACAGTATTGCGCACGGGTGTCGCGTCTGTGCATAATCATCCTCTACTGGTCGCGAGCTGTCTATACGTTAGTGATGTAGCGGAATCGAATTCTGTTGCTAACAACATTTCCGCACGCGTCTAGCTTCTCGCTGTGTCAATCAAATGACTATGTTACGAATACAATGTTTCTTGCCGGTAAAACAGCCTGACAATCTATCTGGAATGATCGCCACATGAAATGTGCTTTAAGCTTCACCGGGGAAAGAGTTAGCGAGAGGCGAGAGACGAGAGAGAGAAGAGAGAGAAAAGAGGGGGGGGAAGCGAAGAGAGAGGAGAAAGTAAGAGAGAGGGCGGAGAGAGCGAAAGAGATAGGCGCCGCGTGAGAGAGAGAAGCGACGAGAGAGAGAGAAGAGAAGAAAGGCGCCGCCGTGAGAGAGAAGAGAGAGAGAGAGAGAGAGACGGAGAGATAGAAGAAACGCGTAGAAATTCCTGGCGCAGTGCGAATAAAGAGAAAAAGCGCGTAACGGAAACGCC